ATCCAATCATACATAGGTACTTCCGATTAGCTAAAACTAAGTTGAATTAATCTAAAACTTCGTCACCCACTGGTTAAAAGCGGGTATTTATACCCAGATTAGCCAAAATATGTGAAAAGCACAATAACTACTCCGAGTAATTAATACCACTAGGGATTTAGTTAGGCTAGTCGTCGCTCTGTCCAATGATTCAAGCTATGTCATTTCTACAACCTTGATCTGTACTAACGTTAGTACTGTACGTGGAAACCAAGGGCGCGCTACAACTACACGATGTATACAGTAGTACTCCCATTTCACATCCTAATACGTATGCATCGTGATGAACTGATGGTTGTGCTACGTAAGTTGGCCTGGTGCTGCAACTCGATTAGTTAGCGGCAGAAATAAAGTAAGGGCTGTTTTATTCTGCTGAAATGCAGAACTTGGGTTTATCGTAGTTTTATCTTCACTGTCAATAGGGCTTATATTATGGTAAACATCTGGTTTCAACTAGTTCAGTATTTCACGGAGATACCACCTGGACCGTTAATTATACCTGAAACTAAATTGCCTTCCATTCCCAAATACACCTGGTAACCCACAAGTGGGTCGTGGCGCCCCGAGCACACCAAAGGATACATCAACGAACATGCCCTCGCTACCGCCGAACCCCGGTAAGCTACAGGCAAACACCCGACACTGTCGTCACTGCGACCATGCCAACCCCCATGGCCACCGTTTATGTGCAACGCAACGGCGTCCCCACAGCCATCCTTGTGCCGGCTACGGGCATCATCCGCCAACCTCAACCAACCTCATCCAAAAACGACTCTGCCTCCGATACCACGGAATGCACGAAGCGATACATGGAATCCCCAGAGCAACATCGGGCGCGATTGGACAGCCAAAGAACTCAACGAAGCTTGGAGTCTCGAGAAGGCCGTGTTATGTGTTTGAGTAAGCTTCAAGCGAAGAGAAAGCTGGAATTGACAGAGGACCGTGGTATTCGCTTAAATGCAATGAAAGTGCAACACGCAGCACAAAGAAGTGCTGAATCTCCCGAAGTTCGCTCTAGTCGTTTGGGTTACCTCAAGGCGCAAAGGAAGGCATTAAAAATGTCGGAAACCGTCGAGGAACGCGAAGGCCGACTTGAACGCCGGCGACAAGGACTCCAACATGTTCAAGAAGCCAAGAGCAACGAAGTAACTGCCTCGGTAGCGCAATGTACTGCACTGGACGACGCTGGCTTGCTGCACGAATGCTCCAAGGACATGAAGTCCCAAATCCTTGGCGAATTGGGATTTGCCGTTGGCCCCTCGGGAATGGATCAATGTGTGTGCTGCGTGTGCATTTGCAACGGATTCCACGTGTATTCAACCGAAGACAAGGACATCCTGCAATCCATGGCAGCCCGACTGCGAAACCCTGACCTCAAGTTTAGCGATGAGTTGGTCGCGTTTTACGATTGCAAGGACATCCATCCTGCTTTTGTTGGTTTGTTGCTCTCGCGCAAAGGCATCACGCACGCTGGCAATGTCAACGACATCAAAAACCCGAGGGATATCGACTTCAACGTTTGCTTGGAGTGTGAAACCGTCCTCCTACAGCCTTGGCTAAGTGAACTTCCACGTCACTACTTGTTTCCGGGCGAGCCAGTGGATAGCGAGCGTGACATCGACCATGAATTTGATGACCACGATGAACATGCAATTGTATATGCTGATCAAGAGGCATGCCTGTATGACGATCCCATCGAAGACAATGATGGAAGTTCCATAGATGCGTTGGCAGAAGTGGAATTTCCTGATTTCTCGGAGATTCCTGTTGAATCATTGCCCTTGCCCCCCTAGCACGCCATTGCAAACCACTTCGTCGTTGGTGAGCTGCCCGACGAACTCTTCAAAGCCACATGGGCTGAGATGCTAATGTGTTCCCTGGTGAGTGTTGTGGCTCAGACACGCATCATCCGTGGAGGCGAGCACCGAATGATCCGTTCCCACTTGATCCTGTTCGACGCGGTCCCTGGTCCTACTGCTACGTTGTTGCCCTTGAAGCTGAACCGAGACGCAATGTACCGTGTTGTGCTTGCTGGGCCATTTACGAAAGACCAGCTCGTCAAAGTAAAGGAGTATCATTTGGTCCGGCAAGCCATGATCATGGATGTCTTGCAGTTCTACAAGTCCAACAATCGGTTTTATGCCGACGTGTCCATCGACGGGGATCTCATTGCCTCCTTGCCAGCGGAAGATATACTTGACGGCATCATTGATGAGGCGTTGGGCGTGGACGAGGAGTCAAGCACTGTGGATAACGAACAAGCAACTGTGAACGGCTTTTCGGGGGGCCCCGACGAAGGATCAATCAAGCATGAGTGTGCTTACGTCGAGCGCAGTGTCCTGTTCACTCAAACAGCATCAGACATGGCGCCTGTGAACGAGAAGGAAGTGTTGGAATCAATCAAGAACAAGATCCACCAAAGAACGCCGCGCACAGACCCAGCAGTCCCTGAATTCAATGTGCACACATCCAACAAGATTTCAAACTACTTTGAAGGTGGCATTGACGTCCGAATGTTTCCACATCTCTTCCCTTTTAGCCGTGGTTACACCAAAGAACGCGCCCGGCGAGTCCCAGTGTCGAAGCTGCAGTGTTGTCGGCTCTATTGCTCCCTCAACTCACGTCGGTTTGCTCAAGATCGGTACTTCGTCATGGTGTCCTTTGATCGTTTCGGTCTCGATCGTGGATTCATCAACTCCAACTTTTCGACCAAAGTCCGACCGCCCATGCATACTCCGGTAGCAAAGATATCGCATGACGATATGCGGAAAGGTCTGGAGAACCAAGATTCCCGTCGATTTGATCGTACTCCAAAGTACAAGTTTGTGAACAAGGCCGTCGGCGCACTTCTCCGGTCCGTTGAATGCAGCTCGTCGTTTGTGTGGGGCAGCAATGCCGAACGTCGAATGCACCGCCGAGAAGCTTTTGCCACAGCCGATCGCTTTGGTCAGCCAAGTCTTTTCGTCACCATCACGCCAAACGTGGATGGAACAATCACTTTGGCGTATTTGGCAGGAGGCATCCAAGTCAAGTCGCTGTTTGATGTACAGTACCTCAAGCACATGCCTGACAAAGCAACCATGCAACAACTGGCGATGAACGACAACATGGCGTCCGCTACTCTTTTCGATCGAAGCATCGAGGCCTTCATCAAAGTCGTTGTCGGTTTCGACAAGTCTACCGGTCGACCAAGAAAGACTGGTGGTCAATTCGGCAATGTCAAGGCGTACTTTGGAATGGTTGAGACCCAAGGTCGAGGGTCGCTTCACTTGCACCTTCTTGCTTGGGTTTATGGCGCTCCACGTTCCACGTCCGAGTTCGAGGCCCGATTGCAGGCAGACCTCAACTATGAAGCGATGGTGCTGAAGTACTCAGAGGGTATTGTGTCCAATTCGCTGTCCATTGACCTTCTTCAGACCCCCTGTAAGGCGTGTGAACATGAGGATACCAAGTATGAAGCTCTCTCGACCCTCCCTTGACAGCCTTCGAAAAACCACGTCGCTCAGAAGGCGTCCTTCCGAAAGAGCCGATTATGGCCAAATGTGGACATTGCAACACGATGGTCAGCTCCCAGCACTTGATTCGGCAAGCCCTCCTGAATTCGAGGCCTAAAGTGTGGTCAGTGGAGTTGCCCAATCTTTCTCAGTCTGGAATTGACAAGTACTTGGACGAGGAAGCATCGTTCTTGAAGTCAACGGCCGGAAAGAAGTATGATCCCGAGCGAGCACATGACCACATGCGTTCGAGCTTCCAGGCATACCTAGCAGGCACTGTCCACATGGAATCCAACGTCGACTATCAAGAGCTTGTGGCTGGTGCGCGAGCAAATCTCGAAGAGTCCAACACAGCGTCGAATACGTACGTTGCCCCCGACAAAGACCCGTTTTGTTTGGATCCTATCTACTGTGAGCTGTCGAGCATGCCGTTTGGGCCAAATGAGACCCGGCTACCTGACGAGACGGTCTTGTTTGTCATTTTTACATTGGCATCCGTGTTGCAGGTGCATTGGTGG